CAAAGAAACCCCTTAGGGTCGTACTTAATGATAGTCAAGCTAAGAGTATGTCTCAGGAACAATTAGGAATACAGTCAGGCAGCCATGTAAGTGATGCCCACCCCGAGGCAGCGTGGAATGACATCCGAAAAGCTGTCGAAACAGCAGTGATGTCTGCAAGTTTGGTAAACCATAAGGTTAAGGAGAAACACTGGATCTCAGCAGCGTCTACCGCACTGATAGATGCTTGAAAACTCATTCCATCTGGCTCTGAACATAACGAAGAGCGGAGTCAGCCTAAGTGTAAGCTGACTAGAAGCCTACGCAATGATCGTGAACAGTGGTGGGTAGCGAAAGCAAGAGATGGAAAAGACAGCGGCAATAGGTAACAGCAGGCAACTGTTCAGACTTGTTAAGGAAACCGGGATTAAGAACCCAACTGTTAGCGAAACTATCTCCGAAAAAGATGGGCATATTATTCATTCTCAATCCAGGAGATTGGATCGATGGGCAGAACACTTTGGGATCAGTTCAACTGGCCTTTAGTCACACTTCGGTTTCCCACGATCTCCAATTTACCTGAATGGCAAGTTAATGTAAGTCCTCCGACTCTTTACGAAGTTGAAAAAGCTATAGGAAATCTGAAGCGTGGGAGAGCAGCAGGCCCTGACAGGTTTACCCCTGAGCTTTTTAAGGATGGCGGTCCAGTATTAGCAGCGAGATTGACTGAGGTCTTAGGTAGAATCTGGGAACTGGACGTAATCCCATCTGACTGGTCCCAATAACTGACTGTTCCAGTCTATAAGAAAGGACAAAAGTCCTCTTGTGACAATCACAGAGGAATTAGTTTGGCTAATATAGTGTCTAAAATATTAGCTTCAATATTACTTCGACGCCTAACCAAAGCTCGTGAAGAGCAGACTAGAGAAAACCAGGCTGGTTTTCGACCTGGACGTGGTTGTATAGACCAGATATTCACACTACATCAGGTCCTGGAACATAGACACACATTCAGACGCCCCACAATAATCGTATTTCTCGACCTTAAGGCGGCATTTGACTCCGTTGATCGTGAGGTTATATGGCAGTGTTTATTACTGGAAGCAGTACCAAAGAAGTGCATCAACCTTATAAAAGCTATCTACTAGAACACAATTGGTCGAGTGAGAGCTTATGACGAATTGTCATCAGAACTGATTACCTCAAGTGGTGTTCAGCAGGGCTGTCCACTCTCTCCATTCTTGTTTAACTTTGTCGTTGACGCGCTTTTAGAAATAGCACTTTCCACATCTGAATTTCCAGGGGTTGAACGTCTACCGGGAGATCCACTTTTTGACTTGGAATATGCCGATGACATAGTTCTATTTGGTGAAGACGCTGACACAATGCCGAGTCTGCTGACCACTCTAAGCAACAATGAAGGCATGTTCGGCATGCGATTTTCTCCCTCGAAATGCAAAATGTTGCTTCAGGATTGGGTTGCATCGACACCCGAACTAATGATATGGAGTGAAGTAATTGAGCGTATCGACCGCTCCACTTATCTTGGGAGTCTCATCAGCCTTTGTGGTCTGGTGTGTGACGAAATCTAAGCACGGATACAGAAGGCTCGACTAGCTTTTGCCAACTTGCGTCATTTGTGGCGTAGGCGAGCTGTCCGTCTACCAACCAAAGGACGTGTTTACTGCGCAGCAGTTCGTTCCGTCCTACTTTATGGCAGTGAATCATGGCCGGTAAGAGTGGAGGATATTCGTAGGTTACTAGTATTCAACCATAGGTGTCTTCGAAGCATTGCTCGTATATCCTGGGACCACCGAGTAAGCAACTCAGTTGTTAGGAAACGGGTACTAGGTAAGGATGGCAAATCAATTGATGAAGTAGTGAAACTTCATCAGTTGAGATGGCTGGGACATTTGTTGCGTACTGATATCAGCTGTGTTGCTTGTGCCATCTATCTCTAAATGAGCGAATTTCGTTACCGTCAACGACCTGATGTCTCAAGTCTAGTTGACTCATTAAATTATAGTTACATTGAGATATCTATCACGTCTCAAGATGAAACTCATGTATTTAAAATTCAAGCTGTAGCTGAAATAAGTCTTTTCTGTTCAGTCAAATATTTCTGGACAAGAGTAGCCTTATGGTCTATGTTCGTACCAATTCTAATTGTCCGATTCCTCAACCTATCCGTCATGTAATTTATATAACATGTTGGACTAACAGTTTAGTCATAATGAAGCCAGATTCACAATGGTATTATTGGGTCGGGATGTGGTTACTTCCCTCAACTACTAATGCAGTCAAGTTAAATCTACAGGTACCTCACTACTATTCATCATAACTAAAAACAACTCAAATCTACAGTAATGCCAGGCACAAATAATGCCCAGAACTTTTTATAATGTATGTATTAACAAGCCAAAATAAGACGGAATTTTTATTTGCAAAATGTGTCACTTTGCGATCTCATAGTAATCATGCCATCTGACGGCTAGTTGTGGCCTGTTTTCTCATTTATTAAAATCTTATGTAATATACTAATTTTTTAAGGTATTGCTCGAGATCGCATTCATAAAAGGGCTAAAACTGGAGCTCGCAGAGAGCGAAATCGCAAAAAGAGGAAGTTCGAGTTAGGACGTCCAGCAGCAATGACAAAGCTTGGACCTAAACGTGTCCATACAGTTCGTGTCCGAGGTGGGAATTTAAAGCTCCGTGCAATGCGTTTGGATCAAGGGAATTTCAGCTGGCCTTCTCAAGCTATCTCACGGAAAACTAAAATAATTGATGTTGTCTATAATGCTTCTAGTAATGAACTTGTCCGAACAAAAACTCTTGTCAAGCGAGCAATAGTTCAGATCGATGGAGCTCCATTTAGACAATGGTTTGAAGCTCACTATTTAAAAGAACTTGGTCGCCGTAAAGTCGTTAGTAAAAAAGGACACACAGTTACACAGGAAAACCCGGAAGAAGATATTTTGTTGAAGAAACGAAGCAAAGCAGCCTTGAAAAAGTATGAAACTCGTCAGGCTTTGCCTCAAGCAAACGTAGAAGAGCCTTTAAAAGAAGCATTTGTTACAGGTCGTCTGTTAGGTAAGTCACCAAGATAAATCTTATCACTGCTTAGCTTGTATATCCTCTAGACCTGGTCAAATCGGTCGAGCAGATGGTTATATTCTCGAAGGCAAAGAGTTGGAGTTTTATTCAAAAAAACTAAAAGTTAAAAAAGCAAAATAAATTTCTTTGGAAATAAACTTTTGTAGGACGTGGGCATTTTTAATCTAAACCCGGGGTTTCTCAGTTTCCATATAGTGGTTTCAATATATGTTGAAATAAGTAGGTTGGAAGAAAGCCATTAGCGGCCAGGCCAAAACATGGTACAAATCCATGAAGTCACTGACAAATGGACTGAGCCATGTTGGTAGGTGTAGACTACCTGGTTGTGGTCCGCGATCGATAGCAACCGGTGGTTAGAGACCTTGAATGACATGGCTCAAAATCGTTTGCAATGGCGCAGGTGCATCTGTAGTGGCATCGAGCCGTAACACGAGACAAACTGGAAAATAGACATTCAACATTAAACGCTGGGAAATACCGAACAATGAAGAAAGGCGGTAACAGTGAATTGAATTACCACGAGTTAATCTTATGGCATGGCTCAACCATGCAGGCGTGGTCCCTCCTGCTAAATGTTACGTTATGTCTTTTATTCATATTAAATATATTGTTCCATCTCTAGCCTAAGCTTGTCCTCTATCACGTATTGATAATTGTTACAATGCAATGAGTTGGTGTAGGCGATGATGTAACTTCCACGTAAGATCTTATAGATTAGGCAGTTACATCATGATAAATCTACAATTTTAGGATTAGGTCTATTATTAGAGCAGTGCTAATATCATAGTAGACCATAATTCTACATTGGTGAGCCCGACTTAAGAAACGCAACCTATTATTATTAGTTCTCTTTTTCACCTGATAACTCTGGATCTATATATACTTATGTAAACCCATTATTCTAATAGTCCTCTGATTAATGCTCACTATCCTGTAATATCTTTATTCTTCCGACCACTGCCTGCCTAATTTCCAATTTTCGAGTTCCATTGCCAAACAACAAGGATGACACTACTACAAAAACATACGGTGAGTTTTAGCTATAAGTTTTCTGCAATCTTGAGGTCATTTTAGATGGCTCGTTCAATGGCAACCATACAATTATCTGGATTCATTCAATTGTTCTGATCCGAGCAAGTGACAAAAACGTCAGCGGCACCAAGGACCCTGGAATTAATTACCATACTGCATGTTTTATTCTGGATGCTTTTGGATCATTACTTCTCACGAATGGCGTTACATTGTCGTCTACTGAATATTCCAATTTTCAAAAATAATCCAGGCGAGTTTAACTATTTTACTGTATGTTTTTTTTGTACTTAACATTATATATTTTCCAGTTGCTTTTGCTACATATTTGTACGTGCCACTATGCTAAATACAGGAACCTCTTATGGGAAGTTTATAACTCATCATAATCCTGCCTGAAGTTTCATAAGCAGTCTTAACTTTAAAATTATTTTTCTGGCAATGTTTGTCATATACATCAATAACCTGCATGTTAAACTACCCTGTAAATGCGTTGCATTATATCTCCATGCCTTTTGAATTCGAAAGTCATTTGAATCGCCTTTAGCATTTCTCACCAAACCCATCATAGTCATTCTTGCTATACGTATTTGGGTTTTTCAATCGGTCTACCATATTAGTAACATAAAAGGACATAGTTTAGATAATAAAGTTACAAATTCAAGTACTAGCATACTGCCTTAGTATGATAGCTAAACAATCAGATAGTTGTTGGCTAAACAAACATTTAAAATTAAAACTCCGGAACCTATTACTAAAATTAACACTAGATGTATATTCTTGAATTGAAATTTATAATATAATTAGGCGGCTCAGTTTCGTCAACGCTACAAATTTCTGATAATTTCAAATCACCTAAAGCAACAATAACTCCGCCTGGAGTCCCTTTCCGGGGGCTACTGCCGGTCCCAAGCCAGGATAAAGGAGGAGGGTTGGGCATAGGGTTAGCGACCCCATCCCGTAGAAAACTAACTCGCTAAAAAAACGCTAACCAGAAAAAATTATTCAAACCATTTAAACTCTGCCCTGGGAGTCAGGAGGTCTTCGTTTAGAAGAATTATGACGCCTCATGATGAAAGCCGAGTTTCTTCGGAAGTCACGAGGCCGATGCCCCTTCTGACAACTAGAGCAACCATTTATTTAGGTACATGGAATGCTCGCACAATGTGGGAGACTGGGAGAGTTTTCCAAATTGCTGCAGAAATGAGGAGATACAATTTAGAGGTGCTTGGGATCAGTGAAACACATTGGACGCAAGTTGGACAACAACGACTAGCTTCAGGGGAGCTGCTGTTATACTCCGGACATGAACAAGAAAATGCCCCACATACACAAGGAGTTGCATTGATGCTGTCCAAACAAGCACAAAATGCACTTATAGGATGGGAATCTCATGGACCAAGGATCATCAAAGCCTCATTCGAAACAACGAAATAGGGCATTACAATGAACGTCATCCAATGCTACGCGCCTACCAATGACTACAATGAAGACGCTAAAGATCAATTCTACGATAGGCTGCAGTCAATCGTCAAGAAGTGCCCAACAAAAGACCTGACTATTCTAATGGGAGACCTAAATGCCAAGGTTGGAACTGACAACACCGGATATGAAGAGATCATGGGACGACACGGACTCGGAGAAAGGAACGAAAATGGTGAGAGATTTGCAAATCTATGTGCCTTCAATAAACTGGTCATAGGCGGGACTATATTCCCACATAAACGCATACACAAAACCACATGGACTTCACCGGATCACAGCACACAGAACCAAATCGACCATATCTGCATCAACAAAAAGTTCAGGAGGACGATGGAGGACGTGAGAACAAAGAGAGGAGCTGATATAGCATCAGATCATCACTTGCTGGTCGCCAAGATGAAATTGAAACTCAAGAGGCACTGGACAACGGGGAGGACAATATCACAAAAATTTAATACGGCTCTTCTTCGGGATACTGACAAACTCAATAAATTCAAGATAACCCTCAGCAATAAGTTCCAAGCCTTTCATGATCTACTCAATGGAGAAGGAACTACTATGGAGAGCAACTGGAACGAGATAAAAGAGGCAATCACTTCAACATGTCATGAGGTTCTGGGCCAAAAGAAGCACCATCACAAGGATTGGATCACGGTCGATACACTGGATGAGATTCAAGAAAGGAGGAACAAGAAAGTAGCAATCAATACCAGTCGAACAAGAGCAGAAAAAGTCAAGGCACAGGCTGAATACACAGAAGTAAACAAGCAAGTGAAAAGGAGCATCAGAACCGACAAACGTAAATATGTGGAAGATTTGGCAATTACGGCGGAAAAGGCTGCAAGAGAAGGAAACATGAGACAACTGTATGACACAACAAAGAAACTCTCCGGAAATCACCGTAAACCAGAACGACCAGTGAAAAGCAAGGAAGGCAAGATAATCACCAACATTGAAGAACAACGAAACAGGTGGGTAGAACACTTCAAAGAACTCTTGAATCGACCAGCCCCACTGAACCCACCTAACATCGAAGCAGCACTCACGGACCTCCCAATTGATGTTGGCGCACCGACAATTGAAGAAATCAGCATGGCTATCAGACAAATCAAGAGTGGCAAAGCAGCAGGACTAGACAGCATTCCAGCAGAGGCACTGAAAGCAGACGTAGCGGCAACTGCAAGGATACTCCAAACTCTCTTCAAAAAGATCTGGGATGAGGAACAGGTACCGAGAGACTGGAAAGAAGGACTTCTAGTCAAAATACCAAAGAAAGGCGATCTCAGCAACTGTGACAACTACAGGGGAATCACTCTTCTTTCAATACCGGGAAAAGTCTTCAACAGGGTATTGTTAAACAGGATGAAGGACTCCGTAGACGCCCAACTTCGAGACCAACAGGCTGGATTCCGTAAGGATAGATCGTGCACAGACCAAATCGCAACTCTACGGATCATTGTGGAACAATCAATTGAATGGAATTCATCACTCCATATCAACTTCATCGACTACGAAAAAGCATTTGATAGCGTGGACAGAACAACCCTATGGAAGCTTCTTCGACACTACGGCGTGCCTCAGAAGATAGTCAATATCATACAGAATTCCTATGATGGATTAAACTGCAAGATCGTTCATGGAGGACAGTTGACAAAGTCGTTTGAAGTAAAGACCGGTGTTAGGCAAGGTTGCTTACTCTCACCCTTTCTCTTTCTCCTGGTGATCGACTGGATCATGAAGACATCAACATCTGAAGGGAAGCACGGGATACAGTGGATAGCTAGGATGCAGTTGGATGATCTAGACTTCGCAGATGATCTGGCTCTTCTATCGCACACACAACAACAAATGCAGGAGAAGACAACCAGTGTAGCTGCAGCCTCAGCAGCAATAGGTCTCAAAATACACAAAGGGAAAAGCAAGATTCTTCGATACAACACAACATGTACCAATCCAATCACAATTGACGGAGAAGCTTTGGAAGATGTAAAAACCTTTACATATTTGGGCAGTATCATCGATGAACACGGTGGATCTGATGCAGATGTGAAGGCACGGATTGGCAAAGCAAGAGCAGCATATCTACAACTGAAGAATATCTGGAACTCAAAACAATTGGCAACCAACACCAAAGTCAGAATTTTCAATACAAATGTCAAGACAGTTCTACTGTATGGGGCGGAAACCTGGAAAACTACGAAATCCATCGTCCAAAAGATACAGGTGTTTATTAACAGTTGTCTACGCAAAATACTTCAGATCCGTTGGCCGGACACTATCAACAACAACCTACTGTGGGAGAGAACAAATCAGATCCCAGTGGAGGAAGAAATCAGGAAGAAGCGCTGGAAGTGGATAGGACACACATTGAGAAAAACACCCAACTGCGTCACAAGACAAGCCCTCATATGGAATCCTGAAGGCCGAAGGAGGAGAGGAAGACCAAAGAATACATTACGCCGGGAAATGGAGATAGATATGAGAAAAATGAACAAGAATTGGATGGAACTAGAAAAGAAGGCCCAGGACAGAGTGGGTTGGAGAATGCTGGTCGGCGGCCTATGCTCCATTGGGAGTAACAGGCGTAAGTAAGTAAGTAAGTAAAGCAAAAATACCTATTTTTCCACCGGCTAATCCTCAATCAACACTACAACTAGTTAAAAATGATGGTTTCAGGATATCGTCATAAAGCATTGTCATGACTTGACAATCACGTAATATGATTGATAAAATTGACGAAACTATTAGCAAATCGGTCAGCAAATCGACTTATTATTATCCTTAAGTAGTGTTGTTTTTCTTTTCATTCACTACGGATGATTACAGTATGTTTATCAGTTGCTCATTCAGTAAATATCTCAAAACCTTGTCAGTCTAATTGGAGGTTTAGCGACACAATCATGCATGCAAACAATCAGTATAAGCAGTTGAGCAAATCTCCTGCAAACTGAAAACATCAATGTCGAATTTATCTCAACACTGACTGAGGTTCAAGCCATTATCATAGACATGAGTTGAGAGTGAACTCCCCTTGGTTACACCTTATGTTCTTCCTGGTAATTCCATGAGCATCACTCACTGTTAATCATCTTGTAAAAACTTATTTAGACGAATACATCTTGCAGCACCACATCACCTAAAAATGTGGCACATAGACCTAACTGATTCCAGTAACTTATAATCACTATATCTCAATGAAATAGCATTCCGTCTTATACTAAACTGACACTCTCAACTAACTTGTATGTACCATCAGCCGATAGGTACGAATATAAATAAATAGTCTATGGCAAATCAGAACATTGAGTCTAGAGCATATCTCTAACGGGTACACTCATGTTTAACGAATCGCTCTTAGCTATATGTCCAAAGTCCACATAATGATTACTTTTCACGTATTTAAAAATTTTCGATAACAATTCATATGTATTAGTTGTATTACTAAATTCTATCACGGTCAAGTACAAACGAGGTCGAGAAAATCTCCCCATATCTAAATAAACCGTATCAAACTAACTGGAACACTAGTTGGAATTCTTCTCCGCGATTATACTTTTGTTCTTTAAGTTAGCCTACTAATACAGATCCAATTGGAAATCAACGCATGGACAAATTACCGGCACATACGTTATTTGATCTCATAATTTCGACCAAATATAATACCACTTTTAACATTTCTCTAATATTGGCTGTTTTTAATATTCCTAAACAGGAAATGTTATTAACCTACGGATATCACTACGTATCTTACGGCACTTTATTAAAATATCCTTATACTGAATCATTTTATTATTATTATAATCCCACTTTGCTTAGCTCGAATAATATTTACCTAAATTTTCATTTTAATCGTGTTAAACATGCAATCAGATATGTTAGAATTACTACATGTATTTCCCGACCAGATGCTGCTGCCTTCTTTTCGATTTATCTTCCAGCTTATCTTTTATTCATATTAAATATATTGTTCCATCTCTAGCCTAAGCTTGTCCTCTATCACGTATTGATAATTGTTACAATGCAATGAATTGGTGTAGGCGATGATGTAACTTCCACGTAAGATCTTATAGATTAGGCAGTTACATCATGATAAATCTACAATTTTAGGATTAGGTCTATTATTAGAGCAGTGCTAATATCATAGTAGACCATAATTCTACACATCCACTCTCTGTGTTCTCTCAAACTCTAATCTTCTGAATTCTTCATGTCCTTTATTTTCTTTCCAAATTTATTTCACTGGATTATACTTCTTGAATAACATCATCAAACCCTAATGTTCCCTATCACTACTTATACTTTCACGACATCTACTACTACCACTACGGGATTTGCATCGATAACTGAATCTCTGTGTTAATGTGGTGTGGCAACTCGAACTGATGTACGTACGTACAAAGTTCCACGTTGTTACTGAGTGACTGAGTTAGCCTACTAATACGAGTTGGAAATCAACTCATATGGACAGCTTACAGGCATAAACTTTATTTAATTTTATAATTTAAGCCAAAACTAATACCAATATTAGCATTTTTACAATATGGATTGCTTTTAATATTTATAAACACAAAATACTTACTACCTATAAGTTACGTTATTAACCAACGGTTATTAACACGCGTCTTACGTTTTATCATTATTATTATTATTACGGTGACTCATTAAAATATCCCTATACGGAGTCATTTTATTATTATTATAATCCCACTTTGTTTAGCTCGAATAATATTTACTTAAATTTTCATTTTAAGCGTGTTAAACATGAAAACAGGTATTTTGAAATTTTTACATGTATTTCCCAACCAGATGCTGCCTCCTTTTTTATTTATCTTTCAGTTTATCAATACCCGGAGGATTCTTATGATTATTGGCAACCTCCGGCACGTGACGATCCCACTCAATTTTGTACCGAACCAACGTCACGTTGATTCTGGTGGGAGAGTAGTGTAGTGGCATTGAGCCCTACCACAAGACAATATGGCAAATACACATTCTACATTGAACGCGGAGAAATACAAAACAATGGAGAGAGGCGGGAAAAATGAATAGGAATTAATCAGAGTCCATCGGGTGGCATGGCTCGGTCATGAAGGCGTGGTCCCTGCTCAATCTCACCTTATATCATTTATTCATATGAAATATATTGTTCCATCTCTAGCCTGAAATTCATCTCCATCATGTGTTGGTAATTGTTACGATGCAGTGAGTTGGTGTAGACGATGATGTGATTTGCACGTGAGATCTTATAGATTGATCAGTTACATCATAACAAATCTACAACTTTGGGACTAGGTCTATTATTAGAGCAGCACTAATATCATAGTAGACCATAATTCTACAGAGTAATTATTAAGTTCGACTGCACGTTTTCCTGTGCGACTGCTTTTTGTGTATTTATTGCCTCTATTCCGATAATTATTTAAGTCATCGTCACTAAAGAGGAAAAGTCAATAAAGTTGTGGAAACGAGTACAATGTCTTTGAAGACGTCTTCGTGTACCGACCGGTATATAAATTACGGCTCCTTATGGTCTATTGGAATGTCACGAACTAGTGGTATTGATGATGACTTATCATGCAAAATACCTCTTTAAATCGTGTTTAGAATGTTAAATTGGTTTAACTTCCTACCCAGTAATCCTATTACAAGCAAACTAGACAATTCGATAAAATAAAAACAAAAAAAACGAAGCCTACTCAAGACCCTATAAAATCTAAAAAAGGCTCCAATAGCGTCGACAAAAAAAAGGGAGACAGCCATTTGTGTATCATAACACTGCTTTTAGCACTATATTTTATAACTACATATTCTGAACCACCTCCATTTGTCAGTTGATTATCCACTCATACCTTGTCTACAGTTATTTCCTTTAACCTATTAGGATGTTCCTGCTTACTAAAATACTTTAATGAAAGAGAATCAGACTGAGTAGTCATACCTCAACCACTTCTTCATGAACATTGTCTTCTCTGCTTCTCGTCCTTTTTTTGTTTTCTTGAACCGTTTTTCAGCCCCCTTGAGATACGGAACGAGTGACCCCGTCCTGCACCATCTTTAAAGACTCAAATATTCCAAAGGGATATAAGATTGCGATTTCTAGAAGTCCTCAACTGCACATGAATCTAGTATCGACCGTCAGTTGCACGTCGCAACGCAACTCTCATGAAGCGCGCTAACTGTGATACTGACTAAAACCATTCTACATTCATATCTTATAAATTATAGACCCAGCTGATTAATTTACTACAGTTGTAAATTGTATCATTTGTAACAATTTGATCTTGCCTGTAAACTGGCATGCCTCATGTAACAAAATGTTATTTGAGAATAAATTATTATTATTATTATCTTTAGAGACCGTAGGTCTACAGTATTCTAATTTGCGATTTTGTTGATGATACTTCTGATGTTGAGATAGAATATATTGGTTAGTGTGTCGGTATTGTTTGCAGTAAAGAAAGTTCCCCGATCAGTGCTTCTTAGGTAATTGTGGAAGTTATTCCAACCAACCTTGCGATAGTTTTTACCAAGTGTTGCGGTTTTACGTCTACCGGTTGTGGTTTTTATATTAAGGCTGTATATGACAATGTTATGATCACTACCTGGAAACGTTTTTCCATTATACACAGTATTGGGGGTGAGGCCACTGGTAAAGACTAAGTCCAAGATATTTTGATGTCTGGTAGGGCTATTGACATACTGAGTCCATTGTCCGAGCTCTAGACATTCTATAAATGATTCATAACGCTTCGGTGCCCTGACTGGGAACCAAGAAATTTCGGGCAAGTTGAAGTCACCACAAATAAGCTTGCCTGTGAATGGAAGAGATGATGCTAGTGTGAATACCTCCGATACTATTGCTATGTCATCTATTGATGCGTTAGGTTGACGGTAAACACAGCCGAACAGTAAGGTAACGGAATTCGACCGCTTTAATACAATCCAGTTTGTTTAGTTCAGGCATATCACATAGTAGTGAGTTTAGGCTAGAGTGAGCATAAATCAGGCATCCTCCGCCTCGTCTTTTCAATCTACCACTTCTATATAGGAAATAGTTATCAAGAGATATACTTAGGTCGGAAGTATTGCTGTTAGTCCATGCTTCAGATATCATTATAAATGATGGTTGATATGTGGATACAAACAGGGCTAAATCCGTCTTTTTATTGCAGATCGACCTAGCGTTGATGAGACATATATTAAACAAACGGCCTACTAGGTTAAAGTGGGTGAGAGTGTCTCGAATAAGGTCGTTGTAACCTTTGCGGGTGTGAGATGAGTTTGAAGTGAAAGATTGAATACTCACATCAGTTTCAGCCTCGTTAGCCTGCGCTTGTCGTGGAAATTGTAGTCTGCTCCTTGATCCGGTTTTTTCAGTGCATTGGCAGATGGAACTTCAGACACATGTTGATGTAATAAGTTTCATTCAGCAGTCACCTCACAAGTAACCTGTTCTGGACTAATGAGCTACTTCAGTGTCTTCGTAAAGTCTGTTTTGGAAGAGGATAAACATCAAGTCATGTCAGATGTGAGCCTATTACCAAGTGACTCTAACTGTAGATCTTCTAAAGTTGCTTCCAGGTAAAAACTCGTACTGGGAAGTGTTGGGGATGGAGTCATCAATTTTGTTCGACATGGAGCAAACTGGCTTTAAAAAAAATGCTTGCAGGTAACTGTAAACAGTAACCTGTGAAAAATATCCAAGATCTGGTAGTCATGTATCATCAACCATAACCTACAGTGGGAAAGAACTAACCGACTTCCAGCTGGAAGGAAAACCAGGAAAAGACCCTGAAAAGGGATAGAGCATACAATGCGGAAATAATCAAACTGCTTCATGAGTCAAGCTCTTACTTAGGATCCCGAAGGAAAAAGGAAAAGAGGAAGATCAACGAAAACACAGCGTCGAAAATTGGAGGCAGCTACCAAAAGAGTGAATAGCTACTAGAAACAATCGGAAAGTAAATCTCAGCACAGGGTTGACAACAAAATCCTGGCCTGTGGCCTATTTTTTCATGAGGAGTAACAGGCGTAGGTAATTCAGAAATTGCGATCAAATCTTTTTTGATCTGACAAGGGGAATAGTCTGTGTTTATTCAGTCTATTGTCATACAATATCTTTAAAATTCCGGTAATCAATTTACGTGCGGTTATTTAAACCTTTTTGACATCTCATTGTCTTCTTTTTAGACATGGGGTAACAGTTCGAGTTTAGAACAAACAGTAGTAGTTTTTAGGCCCTAGTTGAAAACAATCTGTGTTTGAATAACAGGTAGGTCAATATTATTCACTGTGTATTTGTCCATGCTTTGTAGACCAATGTGCGTCATAATTCACTTGGAAGCGTTTATTACTAACTACCAGAATCTAAGTCATTTGGGTACCTTCCATCATGTTGACTTCTAATCAATCTCCATATCTTGATATTATCTGCATATAAAAATAGCAAAGCTAAGAATAATGCCATTAATAATAATATACCCAAAGATAGTAAAAGATTAGTAAGTCCATTAAATTTCAGGAGGAATAATACTGATTCAAGGACTACTTCTTGGTGTATTTCGTTTAGCACAGTCTTCTAGCCGAACAAGATGGATTTCGCTCCAACTCTTTGTTGACTGCCAACTGTGAAATCGTTCATACACATAAGACCATGACTACCACTCCTGATATCTCTTAGCTTAAATAACACCCTGTTGTGTAAAATCTTGTCAGAGAAATACTGGAATCTGCGATCTCTCATTTTAAGCACACCGCCTAGATACTGTGATGTATGTATGCTTAGGATAATATGATTGGTTATTGACATCTACCCGATTTGTTTTGATTTACTGGCTGTTGTGCACACAACTTGGCGGTATCGTTAAGTCATTTGCGGCATGGGTGGGTTTCTTGCTTTGTAGGAAGTTCCGACTGTTGAATGAGCTTTTCATCTATGCTTGGGTTATATAAATTACTTATAAACCGGATTTTTTCAACCGTCTGCCTCACCTCGTACCTTAAGTTCCTTTGCTCAATTGATGAGAATGTATAATGAGGACTATGATGTGGTGAGTTCCCGCGCCGTAATATACAGAACCCTCTGCTTGTTTAGAAGTGAAAACAAAAGGCGTGCTTCAGCTCCATATCACAAATAGAACCAAGCACATCCTTATCAAAAAAGAGTTATTCATTATTCTAGCTGGTGTTCCATTAGCATGTATGTTGTTTTCCGGAAGCGCTAATGGTAACACCCACCAGGCCTCTTATCTTCGGCTGTATTATAGTTTCTGACTTACTACTGAGTTTTTAGTATCGGGCCTTTATGCAAAGTTCTGGAATTGAATTTTGGTGAGGATAATTCGTAGGTCACGTTCATATCACTAGCTACGGGATCAGATTTCTGGTTTCCATCTTGTGTGGAAGCTTAGTATGTGGTGAGGCTATAATTAATGGACGGTATATGAGCGACGCTGAAGTGGTTTGGAAAATGTCAGCCTACTTGCTGGAGCTAAATAATACTGGAATTAGAATGCACAGTTCTGCAGTTAAGTAAGGAATTAAAGTTAGGGTGTTCATCTCGTACTGACATCAGCTGTGTTGCTTGTGCCATTTATCTCTAAATGAGCGAATTTCGTTACCGTCAACGACCTGATGTCTCAAGTCTAGTTGACTCATTAAATTATAGTTACATTGAGATATCTATCACGTCTCAAGATGAAACTCATGTATTTAAAATTCAAGCTGTAGCTGAAATAAGTCTTTTCTGTTCAGTCAAATATTTCTGGACAAGAGTAGCCTTATGGTCTATGTTCGTACCAATTCTAATTGTCCGATTCCTCAACCTATCCGTCATGTAATTTATATAACATGTTCGACTAACAGTTTAGTCATAATGAAGCCAGATTCACAATGGTATTATTGGGTCGGGATGTGGTTACTTCCCTCAACTACTAATGCAGTCAAGTTAAATCTACAGGTACCTCACTACTATTCATCATAACTAAAAACAACTCAAATCTACAGTAATGCCAGGCACAAATAATGCCCAGAACTTTTTATAATGTATGTATTAACAAGCCAAAATAAGACGGAATTTTTATTTGCAAAATGTGTCACTTTGCGATCTCATAGTAATCATGCCATCTGACGGCTAGTTGTGGCCTGTTTTCTCAT